TCTATTTTCCATTGCCACTGTGTTGCTACACATAAGTTTTAGCGCCCCTTATATTACTTACAGAGTTACACCCCCTGAAAATCGGTGACAAATTCAGCGATGTTTTTTTTTAGTTTGACATGTGCTTTTTCGATAAAATAAAATGAATTCATGGATTTTCATCACAAAAATGGATAAATATTATCGAATACATCACAATGGTAGACAGTAGTATCAATGTTGGTACAAAATGACACGTTTACAGAAGTTATATCAGACATTTGAGTCAAAGGATTTTCGTTCCAAGCAAGTTTCAGCGACGGCCAAATTTACTGATGCAAGTATTTGTGTTTGCTCAAAATGCATCCCAACGTAACATTTACTTGATGTCAGCACTAACAAACACTGAGATTTTATTAAAGAGGTCACTCCCGTTGAGCGGTCAGTCATGCAAATTCCCTGGAGTGGCTGCTTAATACAGATTCTACTGTATCTACAAATGAATAAACATGCGACAATCTTTGTCGACCGCTTGGACAATTTAACTGCTGTGGGAGTATGTTTTGTTGCCTGGCAAGTATCTTTTTCTGTCATGGAAATTTAAAAATTTGAAAAAGCAGACTAGACACAAAATAGTTATTTTATTAGATTTATTTGATTATTTTGGGAGGAAGATGTATACCAACTCTGTCTGTATTTTATACTTCCATGTATAGTCTTCAGATTGAGCTAAGATCTCTTGACAGTTGGAATTCGGTATAAGAGTAGGCCATAGTGCTGCTGCCCATGCTAAATTTCCCTCTTTGCACACTGTATGGCGTGTGCCTGTCTTCATAAGCCCAGTCGGAGTAGAACATTAAACCTCATTTCATTTCATTTCAGATTGATCTAATGAGAGTTGTATCCAAAAGGTTGTGTGAACCTTTAAATGGACCTCTTTGTAATGCAACTGAATGCAATCCGGGACCGGGAGATAATCGACCTTTGATATTTTTTTCGTAATTAAATGTTAACTAATCAATTTGAGTACATTTTAACGTGGGTTTGAATGTGGAAAATGAATATTTTCTGAGGAATGCAAATGACGCACAGAGCTTTTAATATGTGCCACTAGCAGAACCTGACCATTACCGGTAGCTACAAAGAACTGGTTGATGCTTTGTTGTGAAACTATACACTTTAATTGAATATGAAAATACATTAACTGAAAATACATTAACTTAATTGAGTATATCTGGAAACTTGATCGAGCTGGATATCACAGCATGGCCCATATTACCCCCCCAACCTCCCACCTTTCTCTAGAATAATAAATCAAACATCCTTGATTCCGTCCTTTTCAGGTTTCTCTGCTTTAACATTCAGTAGACCTGGCAAGATTTACTCTGTCACATACGAGGGCTAGCTGAAAAGTTCTAGACCTTTCTGTGAAAGACATGTACAAAGTCGATGGTTTTCATTTATTTTCCCACATAGTCCCATTCGAAGTGTACACCCTTTTGCCAACAATGTTGCAAGGCCTATGTCACCACGGTCTGTCAAGACCCTACAATTCCCTTTCTATGGTTGAGTTAATTATGGGTTACCTTACTACTAGTTAAGAGGACTATGGTCTAAGATGTCATATCAATATTAAGGTAACCCATAATTAACTCAACCATAGAAAGGGAATTGTAGGGTCTTGACAGACCGTGGTGACACCTAGATGCCAGTCAAAAAGAAATTTTCTTCAGCCACCCTAAAAAAGTCGTTCAATGCTGACATGACGTCGTCATAATTAGGAAAATGACGACCGGCTAGTTCCGTTTTCATTCTGGAAACGGGTCTCATCCATGGTTACAAATCTGGTCAAAAAATTATCAGGATCTGCTTCAAAATGGCGCAGATTGCCACATCCGCCATCAAGGGTTTAAATTCTGCAGCTCACTTCTTTACACTGAAAAAGGAAGGGCATCATCCCCTAAAGTGGAGACCATGTTGACATGTATCTGTTGGGGTTAGTCCTTTCAGTTGCAGGTACTTGATGACTGCCCTATGGCCAGTTCTGTCCATTTCTGGTGATTTCAATGGGTAGGTTCACAAGATGGTCTGGTGCAGTTCTTATGTTAATTATCGTATTTGTTGGTGGCAAAAGTTTGTTTCAACCCAATTAATCTATCCTTTTTAGGCTTAGAACTTTTCAGCTAGCCCTCGTACATGGACATACCCTACATGCTCTAACAACTGCTGAAATAAATAATTTGTACTGTTTTGATAAGGGAGCTGTAATATGGGAGATAACCCTGGAGTATTTTTTTGTGTCTGTTACGAATGTTAAAGTAAATTTAGATAAGAATTGTAAAAACTTATGGGTGTTAGACATATAAGATTGTAAAAATAAAGGCAAATTTATTATGATAATAATGTTGAGATGGTTAAAATTTGGCAGCTTAGTAAGATTTACTACTCAATGAATTATGTACTTGTACCATAGTATGTAAAATAAGCCATCTTCATTGGCCCGGTGTGGTGCAGAAGAGTATGACGTTGAAGCCCATTTCATTTCATGTAAAAAAAAAAAGAAGCTTGCACTTATATAGGATGGAAACTTCTTCTCTGGTTAGGTTTGAATACTGGAATGGTCCAAGAAGTACCTGACAAAGAAAATGTGTTTACTCAGCTAAATTGAGCTAACAGTCAATTTTTCAAACCCACGACTTTGTTTCATAAAGCACATGTAACACTTACATATACGCATAAATCAAACATTTACATATACAACTCTTAAAGTATGTGCATTGTGTGAAACAGGTCCAAGTTCCATCAATTTGTGCTTCCCCATAGTAATTGAAGGGTACTGTAAGTAAGTATGCAACAAGTGGTTGTACTTGTCTTATTTGAATAATGACGGTAACAGACTTGGATTGAATCCAGAATATAATGGAAGATACAAACACCAGATAGAAAAACATGAAGAAGCGAAACATTGAGTAACTTATGGTATACATATTGTCTATTAACTCTTTATTATAACATATAAGACTTGTTAAAAAAAAACCCTAGTTAATTTTTACCATGTCCACCAAATAACTTCTTTAAAACTAACTAACATTGAGAAAGCTGCTCCATTTCATTTGGATTTTTTGAGATCTACGATGCCCATCAAAAGATTTCATTTAAATTTATGAACGAAACAGTGCTAATCTTTGTTATTTATAGTATGAATTCAGGGATATAAATTCAGATAGATTTTGACCACATTGGTCATTTTGACTGGTGAATTTTGTTTGTTATTTATAGTATGAATCCAGGGATATAAATTTAGATAGATTTTGACCACATTGGTCATTTTGACTGGTGAATTTTGTTTGTCTGCTTTGTGAAATGAGAACTAACATGCCTTCAATTTAGGGAATCACGTGGCTAAGTGGGTAAGATGCTGGCTCGCTAGCCTGGTGTTCGATCCCTGCATTGGCCAAGAAAGTTCATCCAGATTTTCCGGCGTGGTTTCCCCTTGTCAATGATGCAGGACGGATGGCCTGACAATCACAGCTGTCTAGTCGTTCGGATGGGACAGAAAACAGAGGTCCCGTGTACATATTGGTGTGTACGTAAAAGATCCCTTGGCAGTAGGAATTCAATATAAGAGTAGGCCGTAGTGCCGCTGCCTGGGCAAAATTTCCCTCATAGCACACTGTATGGCATATGCCTGTCTTCATTGCCCAGATTAGGAGCAGAACAGTAAGACGTTAAACCCCATTTCATTTCATCATCATGTCATTTCATTTCATTTCAAACCTTTAATATAGAGTATTTGAATTTTTACAACAAACTACATTTTAATTCCTGGATTCAATCAGAGAAGAATGCTTTCACCTTTTAAAGTAAATAGTTTTACTGGGTGATCAGCTTTATAAATTGTCTGGTAACTACATTGTACATCCATCTGGTTTACTTCAATACTGGCTGTATTTTACACTTCAAAAATATTATTCCACTCTACTAGTTTATTAAAAATTGATAGGCAGTACCATGGTAACCATTACATCAACATCCAAATTGAAATAAATGGGAAACAGATCTAGTTTTTATTACTTCATCAGTGGCCTGTCAGATGATTTTATTCAATTTATCAGTATCTGGCAGCAAGTGTTCAAGCTATTTTTACATATTGTATATTTGTCAATGAGTACATGCTTTATGCCTGTATCAGTTTTGTTTCATATAAATGGTAACACTATCAATTATATGATTAAATAGATGTCAAAATTCCATGGTTAAATGTTAAAAGGCTAAAAATATGTGTGAAAATAAAATAATATAATATTGAGTAGTACCAGGATATTATGTGTAAAGTTTCACATAGTAGAAATATTTGGTGATGTTCTCAGATAAGATTCAAAGAATGTGTGACAGATGCTTTATCCATCATGTGTTGTGGCATGGTTTTATTGTATTCATAGAAAATGTAACTAGTTTTTAGTTTTCATGATTAAAGGGGTACACCCTGTCTTTTATTTTTGAAAACTTGCCATGTTTTTATTTTTTATTCATTAGTTGAATGACATGTATTTTAAGAAATCTAATTGTTATAAGTGCTTTAAAATATTGGTCAGGTATTCAAGACCTAAATATAAACTTAAATTTTACACGTCATGGTTTATATAGCATATCAAGAGTGACAGTACAGAGATCAGGACAGTACCAGTACTGCAGTACCGTACAGAGATACTCATTCAAAATATATTTACTGTAATATCATATACTGTTAAAAGGTAATTTCATTTATTGTGTTTTTATAGAGAAATAAATTCATAATATTTTATGCACGTAATATATGCTATACATCAAAGTGTCAGTTTCATTTTATACTGGTATGTCATTGGTTGTTTAAGCATATTACATTTTATTAAACTCCGACAGCTGTTACTGTTAAAGGTTCGTCATGAAAATAATCAATATTTTGTCAACAATACTCTACGTACATCTGTCGTTAATATAGATCTTTATATACGTAAATTTAAGCTTGACTAATCTACTTCATAGCAGAGCTTTCACATTATTTCAAAATGGCTGTTTCGTTTATACTCTTTCGTGTCTGGATGTTGCTACACTAGAGATTCCTGCCACCTTTTCGCTTTCAATCAACTGTTTTTTTTGTGGTCACAATTATGGAGGTAGTTGGTTGTTGGTATTGTTTATCAAGACGTGTCAGTTCCATGTTAAAGTGGATTTTTCAGTTGGGTTCGTCTGAAGCTGCAGGTAAACAGATGTCTAGGAATATAACTTGTTTCTATTGCCATTCATATACTCACTGATCCATTAAATATATGTTATTGAAGAATTGATTGTATATGAGAGTATATCATTCTCATTATGGGGAGGATTCTAAAGTAAATTTGGTGTACCTATTCCCTGTACTGATCAAGTATATTTGATTTTGTTCGTGTTTTATTATATCTGTTTGTATAATATATATGGTTATCATGTCATCACTAGGGTTTTGTAAAGTTTGTTTAATAAACCAACATTACAGTGAATGTACAATATATATTTCTTGATTAATTGTTGGTTCCTTACTGAAACAAAATAATCTATCAAATTGATGGTCTTTAAATCTATTTTTTCTCTGTTTTGCATTTGGTGATAAATAATATAAAATAGTTGATACAGTCAATAGTTCCGACAAAATTTTCTTTATTCAAATTAATGGGATGTGTCAGAGTTCAAAACAGGCCATTTAATGTCGGAAATTGACATACTTGTAGTTGAATGATAACGAGTTAAATGTATTCTATTTGAAGCTGTATTAAAGGTTTATTTGTCACTATATATTAAAACTATAATAATGTAAAACAAGCTTTTTTGCAAGACAAACAAGAGTTTTCAGAAAATGAGTTAATTTGATTTACAAATTAAAATAAATGTAATGGATACATATTTATAATCAGTCTGACTAAAATACAGATCTATATTTCGTTTTTTTTTTCTTATATACTTTTGATTGCCAACACTACATGAAGATCTGACCAATTGTATTGGGAGGTCATGTCAGGGGTCATACGAGTGGCTTTTCACCCTATGACGTCAGGCATTGATTAATCGATCAGCGTTGACGTTTCTAGTGGTTTACCCACAGTTCCATGCAGAGCACGCCAAGAACTCGCCGTAACAGACTGTTTCGTTGGCTAATTCCTCACATCAACTAGAACGACTGTTATATATAACAACTCTTGGGGATCCTAGTGTTGTGAAGACAAGAAAAACAAAATTTTGAACTATAAAAAATGAAACGAAATAGGATTTGTGTTTTAATCAAATTGATTTATAATTGCATTACAGAAAGTTTTGTTTTTATTTGTATCGGACTAGCACTTAATCATAAACTAGGTGTTACTGTTGAAAGTTTTGCATCAATAAATATAGTTCAGCTTTCATTTAAATCTGTCAAGGAAGTATTATTTTCTTATAGGTCAAATTCCTTTCACAATGATTTATATTGTAAGCTTTGTTCAGTTCAGTTTATTAAGATTTTTGTGGTTAGTCCTTTGAACATTAGTCTTGTTAGAAGTCAGCATTCACAAAAGTATAGTTTGCAAGGTATTTTGCAAGGCAATCTTTAATCCCTTAAATGACTACAGAAATTTTCTGTAAAATAAAATATATGAAATATAATAAAGTAAAACTAAACCAGTTGAAGGAGGTAATATAAGCTTGAAGAGTAAATAGTGTTTTATGATCGACATATCTCAGTGACCTTTATTTCTGTCATGCATATTTATATCATGTTTTAAAAGGTAAAAGTAGTGTACATAATATATACTTACATGTTATCGCAAGATTTATCTTGTCTGTTATTGAGTTGTGATCACCATGATCAATTGGTACGTACCAGCAATTTCTTGTACTCATAAATGGGACCATGGTGAAGTGAAACTTGCAGGTAATACTGTAGACTCTACAAATGGATTATAGGGATTACAAAGATGTCTTCCTGACTTGTATGTCTATAGGAGTTTATTAGTCTGTAGGATTTTTTAGACTTTAACATTGGGTTGAAAAATGAAGGTCATTGTATGATTTTACAAAATCATGGCCTGGCTGTAGCCATTTGTTGGAGTTTCTTTAGAGGAGACTCAGACAAACGTGTATTTTAGTCTCAGAAAGACAATAATCCTTTCTTATTTGTAATTGCAATAAATTTTTTTTATCCAAATCTTAATGTATTTCAGGCTCTGGAACACCAGTCCTGAAGAAACCAAGGAATAGATTCTTAAATTCCTTACTTTGTTGTTTTGGAACAAATAATAACAATAACAACAACAATAATAACAATGCCCAAACAAACTGTCAAGTGCCTCAAGTTGAAGAAAATGGAAACCCTAAAGTAAGATTTTTGAATTTTTCTTATTAAAATAAAACAATTTCATTTGTCCAATATCTGGTTCTAATTCGTTGTTTTATCTCCCTATATCCATTTAACATTGATTATCTGAAGTACAAAGCCCAGCTGAGGCATGGGCCCAGGCCAAGGGCCCCGCAGTTCATGGCAAAACGAGAAAGAAACTATTAAATTCCAAATGCAAGTTCCACTCATCGGTTTAGCAGCGCAATTGGCGGAGACTGGATGAGTCCGCCTATCCCTCAACCTTGTCTGTGATTGGTCGAAACCTGTGACATAGGCGATCGCTCGTATGCTAATTATATGCCATTTAGAACTGAATAGATTTCCTATTTGATCAGATATTATGTAATTCCTTATTATACTGCAGACCGTTTAATTGTATGTTAATTGTTACACATGTGTGCCATTCGAAAGGATATAAAATAATATTTTCGTAGCGGTTGGGCCCCCGCGATTCTAGTCTGGCCCTAGTATCTGATTGGCTAAAATATTATAGGAATTTAAATTTCAAGCAGTTAAAATGAACTGTTTTTAGATTATGTCAAATAGTTGTATCAAACTGATAGAAAATTGAATTCTTCTTACTGGTAGTATATAGATGTTGAAGTATTCACTCTTGACAGGATGTCCAATATTTCTGTCACTGTCAGACCATGATCGACCCCAAAATACTAAAACAATTTGAACACGACCATTGACAGGATCCCAAATCATTTCTTCCAAAATTTAGAAACCGAGTAAGTTTATATTTCTGAGGTTGTCTAATTTTGTTTTCTGGAGTGTGTGTAATGCTAGATGGAATCAAATAATCAATAATCATGTGAAATTATCTAGTACCCAGTAATATAATAATTTTGTTTTTATTACGTGTACATGTAGCCTGATATTATTGAAATGTTTTTAATATAAGTTTTATAAGATAATTTGACAACTGCCGTGCACTGATAAGAGAATATTAAGTCATGTGTTATAGATTATTATTGTGTAGGCTGGGGATCAAATTCCATAGTGCTCACTACATCAGTGAATACATGTATAGAGAGTTTTCTCTACACCATTAAATACATGTATGTGGATTATTTAAAAATTAATCAAGCAATTTTAGTGATACCATTGATGTTAAGAGTGTCACCTGACAGTACATGTATGGTACATAATAGACAATCCGCGTGATTAGCTTACCGAGAATTATAAACATAATATTGTGTGGTATATTTAAATAATATCAAGTTTAAAGTGGATATGATTATTATACATTTCAAAGAATCCATTTCTTGCCCTAATTTTGACTGTTGAGTATTCTTTTATTTGGTATTTGGTATCTTAATTCATGAAATTGGTGAACCAAAGATATTTTAATTTTATATATTTTTTCTGATTTAAATTAGCTGTCACTGTCTGAGTTACTCAGAATCGCAACATTCAGTGTATTGATTCAAACATTACAGCATGACACAAAACTGTAAATGAAAACAATGATTTAAAACAACTTATTAGGCTACCCAGTGATGAATTTGCATATTCGGTTTCGGTTTGCGTAACCCAATAGTTAGAGGAAAGTTTGGGAATTTAGAAAAAATAGAGGCTTGCGGTCACATCTGCACTAGGATAAAATTCACTAGTTCTAGGACAATATTCTAAAATAAACTGAGGAAGTCTTCTTTAAATGATAAATTATTATGAGTTATATGTAATTAGTATATAACGGAAGAAGATCATGTGATAGTAAGTAATGCAGTTTGTTATTGTTGTATTACTAAAAATAACACATGACTCATTAAACAACAGATATACATGACAGATCTACATGTACATTATATTGCAGCCAGTAAAATTAGGTTATCTTATAGAAATGCATAATTTGAACATTGCAACATAGTAGAGTTTGTTTGCTAGCCTCTCGACATAAAGAATTTAATAAGTTAGGCCTAAAATACATCTTAAAAAAATGGTTGCAATACACTCGCTATCAAGGACCATAAAACTGTAAGAAAAGAGCCAAATTTAGGTTAAGTCAGTCTTAGGCACAACATTAATGATTCAAGATCAAAAATAGCCAAATTTCACACCATACACAATATAAACTAGTTTTGTCAATAAATACATCAGTCAAATAATTTACCAAATCGATCAATTCAAGTGTGTTCAGCTAAATGTTCCTCTTGTGACACCATCATTATTTCTCTTTGGTCATTAACTGATGCCTGAACGATATTCTTGTTTTATCAATAATGGCATGAACATTGAGGCCAAAATGGCATCTAACCAGTATTTTTTGTTTGCGTTGTCTGGATTACTATACAGGACATTATTCACTTTACAATTAAATAAAGAAAATGGTGATTGACGCTTTGGGTCTTTTGAAGTCAATGTACCACTAACAGAAATAGAATATATAGATAATTACTGAATACAAGATATTTTAATTATAAATTTTAAATTTATGTATAATACAAATTCAGTTTTAAATATTGTTGACAATCAGTAATGGGGTCAACAATGAATACTTATTTGTGATATAAACTAGGTTAAACTGTGCTGGTTATTGTGACATGTATTGACATTAAAAACAATAAACATGTTACTGCAGTCATTCACCTTATAGCTATCTATTCACAGTCAACATGTATAGTTATAGGGAGTTGTATGGGTAAATTTTTGATTAAACCAGTGGATATGGGTTCAAAAATGTTAAAAAAAAAAATTGTTGATATTGCCTGAAAAAAAATATTGCATATCAGGAAGTTAAATTGGATATCATCCTTCCCACACCTTCCATGCTAATATATGCCCATTTGGTCAAAACTATTGATTTAAAATTGTAGACTAGTTTGGCCCTTTTATTTTGATCAGAACCTAAATGCACATTTTGAGTCGAATAATAAATCTTTTGATATTGTGTAATATGGAAAGTTTGAGTTACATGTAGTAGTGTGTACAATTAAGAAATAGAATTAAAAGACAGAGACATTAGAAACATATATGTATGGGTGGACTTTTGCCCAATTTTAACTAATATTGACTAATGACAAAAAAAAACAAGCACCTTTCCCCAAAAATCGATTGATTATTGCCTGAAGATAACTACCCGCTTTTACCAGAAAATTTTCTTCTGGAATATTCCAGGACTGACGACTCCCCCTCCCCTTTGCCGGCTTAATTCACCTACAATGCTATTGATTGTGTTTGTAAAATTCCTAAAGGAGTTTGGTGCACCATCACATTTCTGTAGTAATAATAATATGAATATGTATATTTCAGATTGGGGAGAAATATTTATTACCACCCGTACGTCACACTAATATGCATAAGAAATGTGTAGTTATAGACCTTGATGAAACCCTTGTACATAGTTCATTTAAGGTAAGACATTCTGTGATATAAAGTTTTCTAGAAATAGGTAGCATACCATGTCTACACCACTACAGCTCTACACTGTATGTACTCTGTGAAAAACTAACCAAATAATCAAGTTCCATACACAGATTGATATGTATAATATTTATAATAAATCAGATCGAGAGGAACAATATGTTCTTTTACGGTTAGATTCATCAACACAGAACCAAATAAAGTGTAAAGACTTTTCTTTTTTTTTTTAAAAAAGTATTATAAAATATGTACATGTACATCTTGACACCAAAATAGTAAGAAATAAAACTATTGAATTTGTCTCATGATTTCAGCCAATAAGCAATGCGGATTTTATAGTTCCTGTTGAAATAGATGGAACCGTTCATCAGGTAAGAAAATTAGATATATAAATAAAAACCTACTGGATATCATTTTCATATCCCTACTTTAAATTATAAGATATAAATATGATAGTCAATCTTGTAATCTTAGAACTAGCCATACCAACATGTCCATACTGCTTATTCATTAACTGTATGGTAAACTATTCATGAGATATATTGAATGCTGGTTGGCTTGCTTGGCAAAATGTAAAATTGGTGTGTGTCATCTCCATGTCCACAGGTTTACTTTTTTACAGGTATATACATGTATATCTATGTAGTAATTTAGGGGGGTTGGATGGCTGAATGGTTAGAGTGTGCACGCTGTATCATAAAGTCTGTCATTGAGTCAACTGGCGTGGTTTCGAATCACTGGTTGTACGTGGTAAGGAGTAGGGTCGCCTGTCCAACCTCGTGGGTTTTCTCCAGGTCCTCTGGTTTCCTCCCACTGCTAAAGACCCCTACGCGCAAGCGAATTATTGAAATAAATTTAAACCATATGTTAGTCCCGAAATGACCTAGTTTGTGTCGAGAGGACGTTAAACTCCATTTCTCTCTCTCTCTATGTAGTAATTTATTAAAGTCATCATTTTGGCATTTTTCTCACATTATCTCAATTTTCACCATTTAAAATGTACTCAAATGAAATTGATTATGTGTAACAAAATATAAGTACATGTATGTATGATATTTATTATTTTATAGGTGTATGTGTTAAAGAGGCCTTATGTAGATGAATTTCTGCAAAGGATGGGAGAAATGTTTGAATGTGTGTTATTCACAGCTAGTTTAGCTAAGGTAAGCTTGAACCTGTATAATTTGCAAGGCATCAATACCGTTAATAGGAAGAAGGAGGGGCTTAATGTCTCATGAAAGTCAGTAATGATCGATGTCCGTGCATTGTGCTTGGTTAGATGCTTCAGGCTAAATTTATTTTCAAAAGCGTTTGTGCTATTATCATGCTGTATTTTGTAAATGCATTTGTGAATTTTAAATCTGTTTTGGCATTATTATAAATTGATAAGTTTTCCAGAATCTAATAAGTGCAGGATGACCACACCACACAAAAGTAACAGAAAACCAGTAAGCACACATTGAGACATGTAAACAAGGATAGAATATTAACTAAATATATTTTTTTAATGACTTCAGTATGCAGACCCAGTAGCTGACCTACTTGACAAGTGGGGAGTATTTGGGGCCCGGCTATTCAGGGAATCTTGTGTCTTTCATAGGGGTAATTATGTCAAGGTAAGTAATATCATTGTAGTATTACAGCAGCCAAGAAGAATCTTGGTTTTCAAATGACATTTTAGTACAGGTCTATTAGTGTTCACCTATTTATTTCAATAATCAAATTCAAACAATGACTGAACATTTCTATCAACTATTTCACGATCATAATAAATTAGTAAAAATAGAAAATTGCTTGATAACAATGTTCAACTTTGAAGTTTTTTAGTAAATAAAGCTGAAAAAAATATATGTCCAGTTGTTAAAGTATTTTAATTTATTTTTTCTTTTGTTTGCAGGATTTGAGTCGTCTAGGTAGAAATTTAAATCAGGTTGTAATTATTGATAATTCCCCTGCATCTTATATCTTCCATCCAGACAATGCTGTAAGTACTACATTTTATCTTTAATTCCTGTTGATTTCTAGTTTGAAGTATTTAAGGTTCTAAAGAGTATAAAATTAATAGTTAATACACTCCCATTCTGCAATGAATTTGAAGAAAATTTTAGATTTCACGATTGAGCCAGTGTTTTTGACATTTCAAAGAAAAGAAATGCTTACTTTCAACTCTTGTAGTCAAAAAGTTGAATTTAACTGGTTTTACCATTTTGGGAAACTGGTCTTTGAGAGGTGAACTCAGTGTATACTGTATGTGTGTCATCAACAAACTATTCATGAGTTTGACTCTGATTATATATATGTATACATTAAACGCCCACTTTTATGTGGACATGTATTGTCCCTGCCTGCTGTTCCACACTTGCTTATGTTACCCATTCTTCCTAGAACAAGTCAAGCAAATAACTATCAGAATGACCTACAGAGATTTGTAGAATGTCAAACATCTATTCTTCATATTTTTCCATCACATTTGTATTGTATCTTTTTGAATTCAGGTACCAGTAGCCTCTTGGTTTGATGATATGGCAGACTCCGAGCTTCTCGACTTAATACCATTTTTTGAAGGACTTGCACGAGTGGACAGTGTATATTCGGTGCTCAAACAAACTATAGATAGTCCTTCAACCACACCCACCTCATAGCAGACACTATAATACTGTGTCTGGTTGCTATAGAAACTCTTGAAAACTTTCTGCCTTGTTATCAGGGAGGCTAACAAAAAAATATGGCTTCTTTGACTTTCAAATAGTTTCATTGAAATTGGATTTCTGGCCATGGCATAGAAGAAGGAAAGTTTTGAAAGTGAAAATAGGAACAGACATTGAATGTATAGATATTCCTATTGTGGAACTCTAACTTGTCCTTGGAACTAACTTACTTCCCCTTGTCACCTTACAGAACTTGCATAGATTTTTATTATAAAGTGCTAAAATTATATAGAAATTGTTACTTTGTAGAGATCTGTTGCTGAATATTTAAGTTTTGAATTGAGAGGACTTTGTTTATTGTATGTTTAAGACTATGGATAAAATCAATAACTTTATACTTAATATCTGAATGGCTTTCTAATTACCGGTAAGATGACAATGAATAAGGCCGTTAATTCAATTGTTTTTGCTGAAGAAATTGTTTTGATGAATTTAATTATTTAGTATAAATAGGATAAAATGCTTAAAAAAATTATTAAATTTTATGTCGTAAAGTCATATAATTGGTTTCTTCATTTTACTTATTTAAAATTTGAATTTTTCATCTGAAAGGTTTTAAGATAATTGAGTTTTCAACGAAGAAGAGAGTATGTCTAATGAAGTTAGTTATTATCATCCCCTATTTAAAACGAGAAAAGTCATGTAGGAAATTGTTCTTGTTTATTTTAGGTTTTCAGTTAGTATTTGGTTATAGTACTATTTGTAGATTTGGTTTTCCGCTGGAACGGACAATGTTCATATAGAAATAAATTTACGTTAATTAATATTTTGTATCTCTTGGCTGTTAATAGCGGGATTTATTTTTGTTGTTGTTGAATGGCAATATTTGAGTTAATTTAAAATATTGGATCATCAATACCACAGTTATTATTATGGAGACATAATATTATATATAAAAATCATAAGGTCTTTTTTTTTTTAAATCATATGTATTTATTTTTAATTATGATTTATACTGTATAATAAGTTATGTCATTTTTCTTAGACACTTTTGTCAATAATTTTTCTATTTTTGCATTTTTTAATACGAATAAGTAGATTCTTGAATTTATTTGTTGTTAAAATAATGCAAAATGTTTGATGCTTTGAGTTTTTTTGACGAACAAATTAAATGTATGTTTATGCTTCAGTTGTCAGTATTGCTAAGTAATTAGATAATGTTAATTTCAATATGAGTGACATTTCAAATGAATGGTTATTTTTCTACTAAATAAAGAATTACAAATACTGATTTAAAAGATAAAGCAGATTGCTTGTGAAACTCAACTTCATGTTGAAGTAAAATATTTTTTAGAAAGATATTGCCTTTTACGGAAAGACAATTTTGTAATTGTTATATAAATGTTACAAAAGGTGTGTAGTGATAGTTAAGATTCTGCGATATTCATAACAATGAAATCAAAAGACATTTGTCAGTCTTTGCAATGGAAGGTGTGCAGTATCCATAATTGGTTTTGGTTATTAAAATGGTCAGATTTGAAAGCTGGTAATTTTTGGGAAAACAAAGAGGTGTATAACAATTATACAGTATACAAAACCATCCAGAAACCTTATGATATTCTTGCCCATCACTTCAACATATTTGTGGACATTTTTCCTAATTCACTTTGTAAATTTACATGCACTCAGAAGTTTTCTAATGTTGAATTTTCATTAAACAAATGAAAGAAGACACTTGTTATATTTGAAATCAATGTGTAATAAAATGTACTTGTATTATACAATTATGTTGTTGACATATAAAAATTGTTGATTTATTATAATATTATGACAATATTTTATGAATATAAAAATGTTTTGGATAAAATACACAAAGTCATATTCGTATGACTTTTCTCACAAAAAAAAAGACAAGCTTGTAAAAAAGAGTAGATTTTGTAAGATATTTAGTTTTTCATCATAACCTTTGTGTATGATGATTTGTATTTATAACTATTAAACATGTATTATACAAAAAAAAAATTGTACAATTTAAAGGGGTGTTTATGTAGACAAATTGAATTTATGTAGATTAAATTGCTGTGGAAAAATATTGAGAAGATTTGATCATAATGTTTCTTTAGATGCATAAACAAATAATGTTAAAGATAATTTTTATTGTTAAATTTTTCTTAGATTTTTCTTTTGGTACATTATTATTACCTTCTATTAAATGTTAAACTTGAATTTTGTGTCTTCTGCAATGTCAGCACAAATTCATTTGTCAACAGAAGATGTTATATTCTAATATAGTTTTAAGTTGTCTACATAGATGCTCCGTAGAAAAAAAATGTTATTTTTTCAACACAAATTGTCACATATTGTTTATAGCTGTACAGTGGAAAAAGAGTGAATTTTATCTGTTAATATATAATAATTATTTTATAACTTTTCTTTTCTTTATTTTTAATGTGTGTTTATTATTTCTATGTGGGTAATCTATTCATCAATTCTGCAGGTGTGTACAGGGTTAAAGGTCAGAATTAGTCTATTCAGATTTTATAGATGCGATAGACAATATGTGTAAAAACTTTCAAGTCCATAATGGTTTAATTTTCTTTAAGTAATTTCCCTTGGAGGGGAAAAAACACCTTTTCTCCTGGAATTGTATCTTTTAAACTTCTTTTACAATGGAATTTTATTTACAAGATCACACAGATTGTAATTTATGCCATGATATCTATTTGAGCATATATTTGACCTCAGTCTTGTTGACTGTATTCATCTCATCACTAACTGTCATATTTATAACTTCTACTTAGACTAAATTCTTTCTATATTTGAAACACTCAAAAGTTGTGTTTTGTTTTTGGATAGTTATGGAGTGACTTATGTATCATGGTTCCAGATTGAAGTATAATAGTTTGTTACTGGTTGATAGAGGCTATATATTTTTTGTATCGTGACATTAATTTACCTTGAATGCAAGAGTTTATAAATGTTGGGATGTGAAAATTAGATATTAACTTTTATCATCAAGTTAGTACACACCATCTTAAGGCTTCACTCATTTACCATATCCGATATTTCATAGAAAATATAAATCTTGTTGCCTTTAGATCTAGTAATAAATCATCACTTTCAGAATGTAGACATAAGGTATTTAATTTTAAAAATCCTAACAATTAGTATTATCACATTAACACTATCAAAGGTAGCAACCAAAAGTTTTATTAACCAAATAGTGAGAGAAAAAATCCAAAAAACACTCATCATTAAATCTTGTTTGAGTTCTATGTTACAAAAATCTCATTGGTTTAAACAGGGTCTGTTTGACAAATAATATGTTGTTGATCTTCACTTTTCATTATCATCTGTCATATATTCGTCATGGTACACTGTTTAATACTGCTTGTATTGGTTAATTTCATGTTAACAAACTGATAGACATGTTTGCATGTTAGAACCTTACATACATGATGTCATATCTGTCCAATGTATATTGTGTGTCGTCCAATAACTGTCAACCTCTCATTATTATATTTATAAAATATTCTGTCCTTTTACTTCTTGTATCAATATATCTAACTAAAAATTCAGATGGAGTAGTATCAAGTGTTTAGGATGACATCCATCACTATATAGAGATAAATGGTAGATCTTGATAGCTTCTACTTGGGATTTCAGAAGTCAAAGTTACTGGCTAGAAAGTGTAGACCAAGTTATCGGCTCTGGAATAAGTAAGTTTGAACACAAGTGATGGAATTACAGATTTAAGTCAGATTTTATAAAGCTTGAACTGTATTTTGTGTTGACTGTTAATTGAATTTAAATATACATGTTATTTTGTATATTACAAATTAGGGTTAGGAAGCATCGAAATATATGATATACTGATAGAATAATAGTTGATACAATAGTCTTAAAGGACAGAATAGTTAAAACTTTACTCCAGTTTCTTTAAGATAGACCTCCCCAAATACCCCAGTTTTCATATTGAGGTCAGGGAAACTAATGAAAGAGTGGAATAATGTCTTTCTTCTTTATGTATAAATAACAGATCACATTGCTCATTACACCAAATGAAACAAATTCAAGCTTTGAAAATTTAAGAAAAGGAAACATTCACGAAAGTTTTGCTGTATGGAATTTGATTTGGTCTTAATGCCTTTTGTATTATTTTCTTATTGTCTCAATTCATTTTTGTATATGTTTTACACCCCCAAAATAAGGCATTCATTTAATGAGAGAAATTGGTTGTTTGCACTTCAGCAATTTTTGTATTCTGTGCCCCAACTTATTCGAAGATGATAAACATTTCATGTTTGGTTGTATGGATTTCCATATCTGTCAAAATATGTATTATTGTTATGCAACAGTATAATATTTTGTCTGGGAAAATATTCCACACAAGTAATTTAAATCAAAGTGTTTTCAGGACCATTATGATAGTTGATATTCTACAACAGAGGGTGCACGTATACAAAAAGTTAAAAACAGACAATATCAGCTAAATTTCCTCATATGATCATCTTTCAGTGTGTTGTTTAAGCCATTTTGTATGATAACGAAAATTACCATGATTCATGTATTAAATCTTTATTTGTGAATTTGTGTGATGATATATATTAAGAATTTTTAACACTTTAAGCAGTCAAAACTGAAAGAGGCCATTGAATAAATGACACTGTCACCATTGTTTTTAAACTATTAACAAAATATATATCAACTAATAATATAATCACTTTCTTTTTTTATGCTTATAAATATTAATGAAATATAAATCAGTGTGAAGAATTTCATCAAAAACTACACTGGCTGTGTGTGGGTCTCAATCATTATTTGAAATTGAAAAATTAGACATTTGCCTAATCTATGAAAAACAAAACACCAGTTTCCAAATTGTGAATTTAATTGAAGTACCCATATCTACACATACTAATTGTAAGTACATACACACCTTAATTATTTTATCAAAATATGAGTGGCATCGGAAAGATATGTATTTTTTCAAATATAAACATAATCCACTTATTGTATTCAGTTGATTGTGTTCAAATTTATCCTAATCTTATAATAATAATTTCATTAAATTCATTCTCTACTTTTTGTTGCTAGATAAAATCTTCATATTTTCGAAGCACTACAATTGTTTGATCAAAATTTCTAATATTCACCATAGATTAAATGTACACTCATGAAATAAGTACCATAATGGACACCCAACTTACGAAGGACATCTGTCTTTTCTGTTATAGTTAAATTTGGATTATTTGTAATTTCTGTCTGATTGACATATTGAAACTGCTATTGAAGGAAATTGTTATATAAGCTTGTAGTTTATTTATGTGTGAAATATTTGCCAAAATATTAAAATTGAACTGCTTTAATTTTCTACTAAATTAGATGTTGGGCCATCAGTAATCATGTTTCAAAAATTTAAAAAAATGTAACAAAAAAATTGTTCAAAGAGCATTGGATATGGCACTTCTTTTTGTATTATACACTGTTATGATCGTGCACAAATTTATGATAAGAGTTCAAATGATTTCTTTAGATTAGGCCAAATTTATGATAAGAGTTCAAATGATTTCTTTAGATTTGGCAAAAGATTTTTGAAATTTTTAAAACATAAAACTATAAGACAGATGTCTAAATTTTGCAAAAGTTGTCAGAAATTTTAAAACCATTGAAACATATTGCAAATTATTGGCTTGCCTTTTTTTGTGTGTAAAATTTAACAATATTGACAGATCCTAGTGTTGACAGAATATTGATTTTGAAGTAAATATCAATAGTGTATTATAGAAGTATAATAATATACATTGTGTCAGTAGTGTATATTACAATATATAATTATATAGACTATTAATATCTATATGATAAGTATATATATATATATCAATGGCTATTTTTGTTATAGGGCCAGTATTTTTTACCTATATTAAACTGACAATATGTAGAATTGATAAGATCTTGCAGATTATTAGTAACTATTAAAATATCACATCCTGATATTCAGATGATAAGAGGTATATAAAGTTTTGAATGTCTTGTTATGTTAACTTTCATCAGAAATTAATTAGCCAATTCCTGGATTTTAAATTTGTCAGAATATACATTTCACACCAAGGGTTTATTGGTTAAAAATTATAGCAAGGTTGAGAAAAACTAATGTGGGTGGGGTTAAAGTAAAATGGTATAGTAAGTTGTATATCTAATGAATTCTACATGTTTGAAGTTTAAAAAATGTTAGTAATAGAAAACTGGTTGTATTAAAATGTTTCATATAGTATAATATGTGTACATGCCTGCATACTGTAAAATACTATAAATATTATATAACTCACTTGTTGAGGTTATGGTTTGATTGTACAATAAAAAAAACATATTTTCTCTGGTACTGATTTTAATATAAACTTATAAAATTACACATCTTTGTCTTTTTCTTTAAATTTCGAAGGAAAAATACCATTGATTTACATGAAAATTTTTTGTTCTTTCTTAGAATTAGCCTGTCAGAGATAAAACAGCTCTGGCTTTCAAAATTCAACAATTTAAGTGGTAAACAAAATTAATTTACATGTAGTAAAATTATTTTTATAGTTTTTTCTTGTTGGTCAAAAACACAGATCAAATCGATCTAATTCAACACTATTATGATCGAAATCAAGGAGGTTTTCTTGTTAAAAGCACAGGTATTAGGAAGTGTTTGATTTTGATTACCTTTATGAAGGTAAATCTACAACAGGGTACTACAAGTTCTTTGAACATCTGTGATTAATAAAAGGTTTCTTATTGGCAATCAGATATGTACATTAGTACCAATCAGACTGGATGATTGGAGCTAGTATTTCAATCTTGCAATTGAAATGGATGCTTGTCATCTATAAAACTTCAAGGAGAAGTCCTTAGTTTCTCTTTTAAAGTCTACATATCTAGTAGTAGTGGGGGACATACATGTGACAGAGTATGCTTACACTGTTGTTTTGTATTTATAGACTATGAGTTTGGTACTGCTTGTTTTTTCCATTTATGCTGAACACGTCTAGTAAATGTATTAATAATATCAATGTTTGGTCCAATTACAGTTGATTATTGTCCCCCGGCTTTTGGAGAAAGCAAAGGACTATTACAATGCGTTTGTCTGTCTGTCCGTCCTCAATTTGTTTGTGGACACTCTACAGGTCACAATTTTTATCCGATTTTGACAAAGCTTGAAATATAGGTCTATCTCCCAGAGATCTCTGTTCCTTTCGAAATTGGCATGTATCGGACCATGACTTCGTGGATTGTGGCCTCTGATTGTACGTAAAAACACGTTTTTAGCTTGTGGATACACTATAATGGTTGAGTTCGAATTTAGTGAAAATCAGACAAAATGGGTGCCCCTCGTACGCAAATAGTTTAAAAATATTAGATTATGCTAAATAAACTGTATGCAATGCTGACCTTTGACCCTTTCTTAAGCGACTTCGTACAGGATTTGACTCTGAAGAATGACTGATTGTTACCTAATATATATTTTTTCAGTTGTTTCATTGATGTACTGAATTATGCTAATTAGTTTGGGAGTGTTCTTAAGTGGATTATGAAATGAAATGGGGTTAAACGTCCTACTTTTCTGCACCGACTGGACTAACATATGCCACACAGTGTGTTATCAGGAAAATTTTTCCTGAAACAACAGCACTACTGCCTACTCTTTGAATGAATTCCATAATTCCATCTGTCAGGGGTTCTTTTACATGCATGCCATCCATCCTTCCCCCACTGACAAGGGGGAAACCATGCTGAATATTCATGGGGATGTTTCTCGACAAGCAACGGGATTGAACCCACACCTGGTTAGTGAGCCACCGCCAAAAGAGCAGGAGTTGGAACTTAACAAACTGTCGCCATGCAAGATAAGCCAACATTTTGCTAAAAAAAAGTGATTTTTCGTACAATTTGGGGACATAATCCAGCAAGTTATGGTTCAACATACACGAATATCAAAAGGAATTGAAACCTCTGGGATATAAACATATTTAAGTTTCATCGAAATCAGATAAAAATTCTGTCCACAACCTTGGTATTACATAGGCTACTTTTACACTATTTGCATACAAGGAGTGGCCATTTTGTCGGGCAGTTTCGGCCCAATCTTCACAAAATTTGAACTCCCCCTCATTAGGTTTTAACACTGATATATTTAAACGTTTTTTAAAATGAGATAAGAATTGTGACCTTTAGAGGGTTCACAAGCTAAAAACTGGATTTTTTTGGGTACAATCTGGGGCCATTATCCAGGAATATGCGTGAATATCGAAAGATCTTTGAGATATAAACATATATTTTAAATTTCATCAGCGGGTCCACAACCTTGGTATTAGAGAAGAATGTAGACTAGAGATACAAGGTGATAACAGGTCCAGGTGGGGAAACTAGGTTTATTCTGAGCTTTCATTATGTTTAAAAATACTGTATTCCAGAAGAAAAATCTTAAATCACTGAAAGGCAGCGAAATTTGTGACACTTCGGTTATTGTTAAAAACCGTAACAAAGATTCCCAACCTTTCAAAAAGAAAACTTGATTATATCGATGATGCTACTTCTTTAGCACTAATAACAATCATGTCCCATGCTTGTAACAATACAGTCTTATATCGTATAGACAGTAATACACAGGTCAGTATCTGAAAACATCTCTTTTAACATGGCTGACACTTTATCCCACTGAAGTCCATCTAGCCCACAACCTATTTTAGGCATTGATACACTTTGAACTTTATTTTCCAAACAGTGACTTTTCATTGCAACAAGACTACTACTTAAAGTATCATAAGTTGGTTTATGAAAATATCTGTCTTTAGTAATAAGATAGTACACATATCTGCTACCTCTCTTTAAAACTGCTACCTCGCCGGTCTTCTTGCCTAAAAATAAATACCAATGATGTTTAGAAAACATTAATGGTCAGAAGTCAACCACTCATCACCCTAGGCCAGTGATTCTCAACCAGTGTGCCGCGAAATTTTGAACGGCACACCAAGAAAGTTTCTCACTAAAGAAGCTAGCTATTTGACTGAGGAAATTCAAAACACTGCAATAAAGAAAGCTCATAGCCCTGTTTTTCTTTATTTAGTTGGATCATTCTATGTGTCTATGACTAGTCTGTGTCTATGGTTGTATGCCGTCTATGGCTTGCCATGTTTTTATTTTGCAAAATTCAATGTTTTTCATATATATTTAGCCAGGTGTGCCGCTATTTTTTCATGTGTTCCAAGGTTGAGAACCATTGCCCTAGGCTAACAGGTTTACCACTTGCATCATAAAACATCAAGTAAACTTCTTCAGCTAAGGCAAATATGGTTTTGTATGTCACAAATGCAATTTGCAGCTCCTGCAAGGTGTGTCCTCACTGTGCCCACTTTTGATTAATCCAATTAAGGTCTAATTAGGATTAGTGGATTAAGCGGTTAGGATTAGGTGTTATAGGTAATTAGATGGAAAAAAAAAAAAAAAATTTTATGTAATTTTTTTTTTATTTTTCGATGTTTTATATATATTTAATAAAAATATAACATACATGGATATATCATACATCACATTAGCACTTTATAATTTAATGAAAATATAACAATTTTCGATGTTTTATATATAAAATATTTAATAAAAATATAACATACATGGATATATCATACATCACATTAGCACTTTATAATTTAATGAAAATATAACAATTTTCGATGTTTTATATATAAAATATGTAATAAAAATATAACATACATGGATATATCATACATCACATTAGCACTTTATAATTTAATGAAAATATAACAATTTTCGATGTTTTATATATAAAATATGTAATAAAAGTATAACATACATGGGTATATCATACATCACACAAAAACAAGATAAACAATGAAAATTTACAATGTAGTTAAACGGGCTACGCCATCGGCATACTCGAGGGGTGGCAATAATGGATGTTATCTTGGAATGCCATCCTTCAACATGGTTCGTTGTGCGTGGACCTTCAGTGTGGAAATGGTTCCACATCATTCTGCCATGCTGCCCCTCCACCCAGAACTCAGTTACGTAATCTGCAAATTGCAACACTCTGGCATCTTGGAGTGGTGCATCATCAAGGGCATGCAGCCATACATCTTCAACCTGCTGTATTGGAATTAATGGTAATGCTGCTGCTTGCTTGACGATTTTATTGATTTCTGGCACCCGAGAAAAATCTGCTTGTAGTCCATATTTCTGCGCATTGCGCCAAATACACTGACCAAAGTGAAAAAAACAACCTTTTAGTTCTGACCTCGGCAACACAGTTCTCACAGCATTTTGCATACTAACTTCGAAATCTGTAAACACATGGCCTGGGTTAAGATTAACATTGACAAGTGCCAATGTTTTGTCTCTAACACATCTGAGGAACTCAACATATGTTGCCTCCTTCTTATCGGGTAATAGTGCATACACCAAAGGGAACATTTTATTGTGTACAAAAGCATGTATAGTGTAGATCTGGGTGAATAAGGTAGGACTCATGCTAAATGTTCCATCACAGTATATAGTGTCTGCATTGGCGAGATGGTAAAGATTTTCTTGTGTGGAAAACACTAGAAACCTGTTGTCGGCTGCTGCGTGGAGAAGGAAGTCGTTTCCGGATGTGGTCTTGGTGTAAGAATCTGGAAGCTGGATATCGTTGTGGGTCTGAGGAAGTGCTGGGAGGATCTTTGCTCGGGCTCTATACAGGGAAGCACAGCAACTATAGAATGTTGGAATCTCTCTGATCATCTCACCTGAGTCACGGTCAGATCGAAGGGCTGTAAACAAACAAAAAGAAAATATTTATTATACATATTATTATATCATTAATACTCGACCAGACACTCGATTGGTTTGTTACGGAAGAACATGTTCAGTATGCTTTAACGTTGAATCATTTAAATCAACGGCACACAACATTAGAGATAAATACATACCTGATACTTCTTCTTGATAGATGGCACAGACTGGTTTGGTTTCCTCTTGCACCTTGGTTTTCATGGCAACGAGAAATTTGTCGACTGCCACCTTGTGTGGGTTAGCAACATGGTTGTGGTTTCTGGAATATTTGGTAATAAAGCCTTGGTGAGTGTTCAGGGTTGCTGGACAACCTTTTATACAACATCTCCAGTATACTCGTTCTGCCTTCCTATTCTTCACTCGGAATTTGTATTCTTCATGGACTAAGTTTTCTCCACCTTGAGCATTGGGGATGTACTGGATGTTTACTTGAACGTTTGCCATGATGAAATATGACAGACTGACTTCTGTGTGTCCTTATAAAGACCGTGTAATGTGTAGGCTTACTGAACATAATTCATATTATATTCAAGTGTCATTTTTTGAATAAAATTCATCACTTTAACGATTACAGTGAGTTCATCTCACCAATTATAAGACTGAATATTTAGTCACTTTCAATATTTGTTTTTTTCCATCTAATTACCTATAACACCTAATCCTAATCCGCTTAATACACTAATCCTAATTAGACCTCGGTGGAAGCGGACGTAAAATACAACTAACCCATCATCATAGACCTTAATTGGATTAATCAAATGTGGGCACAGTGAGATGTAACCTCCTGCAAGGGCCTGCCTTTACCATTATAGATTCCAGTTAATTTCCCTTTTCAGTATAAAGTGACACCGTACCAAAAAGTAGTAAAGATCATGCTGAATCTATAATATGGTACATTTTGATCAATGTCAAAAAACAATATACGCATGTCATGAATGTATATAAACTGATTTACATTCAATGGTTTCCGTGTTTACTCCAATTTCAAATCAGTTATGTTCGGCGAAATAAGCCAGCAATCTCAAGCGAGTGCAAATTTCTAGCGTCTGGTTATTCCAGTCTACATACGCTGTTTGATTTGGTGCAATGTGTCTAGCCTCGTCCCTCGAGTCTCTTGATACAACTGGGGCTGAAGCGCATTATGGTACACGATTCGTGTACCAATGGTAAAATGTTTATTTTGTCTTAAATATTGGATATCAAAAGTCCATTTTTTCTCGGTAAGATCACAACATCAATGTTGATTTAATTTGACAAATAAATCGTGTTTTCAATGTTGAAGATTTGGGATGATATTGAGTTAGAGACTTGGCTACTTTAAAGAGGGAATATTTCTTTTCTGCCATAAAATAAGTTTTAACAAAATCATGCATGCATTATCACTTCACTTCATCTTAAAAGTTACTATCAATCTAACAGTCAAATCTATACCATGGGTTATAGAGCTGCACTTACTAGTTGGTACTATGCTATTCCAGATTTAAAGGTATAGTCTATATGAGGCTTCACAACATTCTTATCAATTGCTATCATTACCAATTAAAAATATTAATAGTCAGACTGGACACCACTTCTTAAGATACGCCCACACGACAGCTATGTCTCAACAGCAGCTTATCCGAAAGGAAAATTTGGATGTTTGATCTCTGTCATATTCAAAAGCTTGAAAAAATCTGTTGAAAACTGTTGCAGCCTATATCATGTTCAAAAGGTTTTTGGAAAAGGCTAAATCTGAAAGGCTGACTAACTTTGAAAAGAATTGTTTTCACGAAGTTTTATGGCACACGAGGGTGACACTGGAACATAACTTGGCAGTACGCTGATAATTGATAAAACAAAAAGTCACAGAACGCAGTTCGTCCTCTCATGATCACAATGCTTCACAAGATTCTAAGCTAAGCAGTTCCATTGGTTAATGCTTTTGGACAAGATAACTTTGATTCTAACTGATGAAGACTAAGAGTGATGAAACTTAGTGTATAGTTTCACTACCAGGTACTTCAAAACCTTGACTAAGCATAAGCATAAAATGTTCACGATCAAACTCAGACTGCATCAAATCGAATCTATTTTTCAAAATATTCTGTGAGCTTTGTGCGGCACTGGACCCTACCCTTTTTTATACGCCCACATTAAAATGTGGTCATATATTGTCGTTGGTGCGTCCTTGATCAGTTTAAAATATCTTGTGGACGCTATAAAGGCTAAAGGTAATATCCCATTGACTTTAAATTTATACAGTGTTTAAGGTCACGAGACGATTTCTGATAATTACTGCCAGAGTTATGGCCCTCGATCACTTTGAAATATCATGTGGGAGCTCAAGAGGCTAAAGTTAATATCTGATTGACTTTAAAGTTATAAACAGTGTTTAAGTTCGCGAGATGAAGAAGCCTATTGATTTTCAACGATTTCCTATAATTTCTGCCAGAGTTATGGCTCTTGATCACTTTGAAAAAATCTTGTGGATGCTCAAGAGACTTATGAACTTTGATTACTTCGAAAAATCTTGCAGATTTGGATAAATATTACTGGAGATATTTAAAAATAATAACTGCTTGCATTATGAAATCTACGCAGCCATCTTACTTCACTTTGTCAAAAAGTTTAATTATCCGTAATTTTTTGGTTGATATGCTGTTTAGAATATGCAACATTTCGGTCACCAGATGGTGTTGATTAGTTTAGAATATGCAACATTTTGGTCGCCAGATGGTGTTGATTAGTTTAGAATATGCAACATTTCGGTCGCCAGATGGTGTTGATTAGTTTGACGGTTATTTTCTAATAAGACGATGGATGCTGAAACAATGAAATGCTCGTTCAAAGCGATTTCTCTATCGATAAATTGCGGTCTACTTCATGCTTATCAAAAAAGAATATTATGGGGCTACAAACTTGGTAGGGTGTGGTCTCCAGCCATCATGAAGCAAAGAGAGAGTCAGATAATTATGAGAATATTGTTACATATGCAGCAGATAGTGTACTATATGACTGCAAAGTTTGGATAAGTTGACTTTTTGCATCAATGAGATATTTAGTACTGAAGTCGGTGGTAATAAACAAGTAAAAATTCACCTTGATCTTTAAGTTCTTGCACACCACCAAACTTGTTTTTAAAGAGAACAGCAATACCTTTCCCCATAGCACAATCAGAACTAATACAATGAACAAGTGCATCTGTTTCAGGACATGAAAATAAATCTCCCTTTTTCTCTGAATACTTGAATCCCTTTTTTCAAATAAATACATTAAAAAAAAAATTCATTCAATTTATGAACTTGAACACATTCGATGATAAGTTACCAATTTTTGTGTTGAATCGTAAGCTAAATACAAATCCATTACACAAACAAGATCAACGCTAATTAGTGTGGAAGGGTATCCAGTGCTTGATATAAAACTGAGTCCTAGCCAAAAGATAAAAGAGAATTAAAAATATAACCAAAGACAATACATGTACTAGACGATCACAAGGCTAAAAATATCTGTACCAGAAGAGAGTACATGTATGCGTCACACGTCTGCTATGGGAAGTTTTAGGAGTTTCCAAATCTAACCAGCGACGCATATTGCTACATATTACCATGCCCTTAATAATTCTTTCTGTAAATTTGTAATTGGTAAAAACACGAAAAATAGTACAAACCATGGTAGCCATTCTTCTAAATTGGTTTTGTAGACCTGTCCTGAAATAAGAAAAACAAGCCAACAATAAGACAGATGTCCCTCGCCCGCAGCAATCCAAAAATAAATAGATGGTACATTTGAATTAATCGAACAATTGTCTTTTTATAAAGCATTGAGAAATCGAACTTCTTATCAATAGGGGGTCAAGGTGGCTAAGTGGGTAAGACGCTGGCTCGCTAGCCTGGAGGTCAGGTGTTCGATCCCTGCATTGGCTGAGAAAGTTCATCCAGATTTTACGGTGTGTTCCCATCTTGTCAAGAATGCAGGATGGAGGGCCTCACAAGGACTGCTGTCTAGTTGTTTGGATGGGATGAAAAACCGAGGTCCTGTGTACACATTGGCATGCACGTAAAAGAGCCCTTGCCAGTTGGAATTCGATATAAGAGTAGGCAGCTGTCCGGGCAAAATTTCCCTCATAGCACACTTCCGCTACAAGGTACTCCCTGCTAAATAAACTATACATTTTTGCCAAGTTATAACACCAGGAACACAAATCCTGAGAGTTCCAAGCAAAATGTTTGCACAAACTCGATTTAGGGCCAGATGAAAATTGTGGTAAGTGTTGAGCAAATTGTTATATTTATACTAACAATTGTGAAGTTGATATAAAATTAAATATTGGTGAACACACATGTTGCCTTCATCCTAGGCAAAGAATACTACAGGTAAGCTGTAAACCTATAGTTCAGATAAACTTATGATTTCAGGCCAAATTACAAACATATTTAAACTGAAACTGTATCTAAAATTGTATAATTGCAAACTAATATGGACACAAGACAAAAACTTTTTTATTTAGTGAAATAAAACAATCATTGAAAGTTAGTCATCATCATCATCATCGCTGTCACTATAAACATCAAATTTGGTTTCTTTAACAGTCTTTTTGTAATTGGCTAGACTTAGACAGATATGTACCAGACAACCCCGGTGCGGTTTCCCCTTGTCAGTGGTACAGGATGGGAGGGGCCTGGAAAGGACAGTGTCCAGTCATTCGGATGGGAGGGAAAACAACAGTTTAAACAATATTTGATTGAAAAAAACTGAATCGGCTTGAACAACAGGTAAGGGGCTATATAAGTTCTTTCAAACCAGTATTTCTACTAGTATATTTGTAAACCTTTAGTTCAGATAAGATTTGAGGCAAAATTCCTAACAAATATTTGAATTGAAACGAAGCATCTATAAATATGTAATTTTCTCACTAAAATAGATAAATGGCAAAACCTAAATAATACTGTAAGGGCGTGGCAATTGTAATGAAGAGAAAAAAAATCAAATGATTAAAATGTCTAACTGTTCAGTATCATATGAATATACGCCATACATTATGCTATAGGGGGAATTTGGCCCAATCAGCAATGTTATGGTCTACTCCTTATTTCGAATTCGAGCTGTCAAGAGTTCTTTTACTTCCACGCCAACGTGTGCACGGGACCCCAGTTTTATATCCCATCTGAATAACTAGACGCTGCCCATGACAGCCCCCGAAAAGGGGAAACAACGCTGGAAAGTTTGAGGGAACTTCCTAGGTCAACATGGGGATAAAACCCCAGACCTCCTGATTAGTGAGCCAGCTCCTCACTCACAGAGCCCTGTCCTGTACCACTGAAAAGAGGAAACTACGTTGGACCAGGATCAAACCCTGGACCTCCCGACCAGCCCCTTACTGTGTCACCGCGGCCCCCTTGCACTGATAACACTTGCATGGAAAGCAGGAATACTAGCTGTACATGTACAATGCCCCCCACACCAAATTATAATGCATGACCTATAATCATCTACATTATATGGGTTGGTGTAGAACTGTAAGACATTAAACTCCACTTGATTTCTTATCTCTTCATTACAATATTGTCACTCCCATTACAATATTATTTAGTTTTGGCCATATCTATTTTAGTGGCAAAACTAAATATCTATAGATGGCTAGATGCTTTGTTTTAAATTGCTTGTTTTGTAGAAACCAATTCTTAAACATTTTATTGAAAAATTTGGGCCAGAAACTCTTAAGTTTCTTTCATGCCCAGACAGAAATGAACAGGTACCCAACGAAAGAGTGAGGCAACACTGTTCTTCAGTTGGCCTATTAACACGCTTTATAAATGACGATATTATTAGGGTACCTAGCTAACCTCTCGACAATCCATGTCTTAAGAATGATACCATAGTTATTCTATCTTGCAGAACCTTTGGGAATAAATAACGGCATTGACTGAGCAAAATACATCACAATTGATAATAGGGTCATTCCATGTCAACTGGATCAATGGTGGGAACATGACCCCTTCAAAATAAAAAAAAAATTATAAAAAATAAATCACAAATCCGAAATTTTACCTCTCTAGGTCATAAACTCGCTGAGATATGGCGATTTGAAATCAGGGTGCTGAAAAGAACCATAAATTCAGTAATTTTGTTCAGGTTTTCAGGTGCTTTAAACTCATTGCTAATAGGAGTAGAACTCTCTAACTTTGTAATCTAAGACAACGTTTGGTGTAGATTACGAATTCAGCATCACATTCAATGTGCGATTCATACTTTTCGTGCCACCAGGTGGCAAAATGTGGAACAAATGAACTATTCACTTTTTTTTTCACGTTTTCCAAGGCCTCTGGCAAAGTCACTATTGTATACAGAACCTCCAGAATTGGTATATTTATTGTCTATTATCAATTTACAAAAGATTTTCAGTCAATGGGATATTACCCATTTTCTCTTTCAATTTTGACCATGTGGAACAGGGGGTAAAATTTTGTGGGCTCATATTTTTAACTGGCACTTGAAATCTGTGTGTTGAGTTTTAATGGCAATTATCAAAATTGTTAACTTTTCACGTTGATTTTAAACTTACTTCTAATGACCATAATAATTTAGTGATGTATCACCATGTTGAAAAAATCTGTAACTTTTCATGAGGTTAGTGGCTAATGAAAAATGTATGTGGCTAATACTGTTTTTATGCATTTGCCACAGTGGCTAAAGAATTTAAGAAGCTAACTGCTACATACACTTTCAACAATTTCAGACCAATTCAGAAAGGTGCAGGGGCAAGGTTGTAGAGATACTTATACACCAGTACCAATAGCTTGAATTAGCATCGGACTTTAGATGACAATAAATGAAGTTCTTTCAGAGCAGCAGTAGAGCTATGGTCATAACTTTAACCAAGAATTAGTTTTGCAGTAAAATATTGAATTCATTGGAGAGGTTGAAGAGTAGCTGCTGGCAGATCACATATCAGACTATTTCCATAATCTACATGGGAGAAAACTAAAGAGCTGGCAAGTTGAACATTGCTGAAGCAGAAGATCAAGTCTTCTGGGCAATATGATACTTAAAGTTTAAGTTTTCATCCAAATGCATTCCCAGGAATTTAACGCGGGATGAAGACTTAACAACAGAATCCCCAATTCTTAATTCGTGGATAGTAGACTTGTGGAGCTGACGGCTACCACTGAAGATAATAACCCCAGTTTTGTCGTAGTGCATTTTTGGTGTAGCATCAAGATTTTAATCTCGTCTAAGGACTCTGATTGGCAGGCTCGAAGCAATACGAGATTCTGCATCAAGATCTAGCCTCAATCATCATTCCCTACTAAAGTCAGTACGATAAAAAACATAATATCGAGCGTCGAGCAGCAGATTGGATCCCTAATCCAGCATATATCGCAGGCTAGCGATGACATTGATTATGGTCTGGATAAGTTAATTAATGTCTAATTAATAGATAATATACGGTAACATTTCAGGCCTAAAGAAAGACCTGCAATAGGCAGATTTAGCTCTTGCACAATGTATGTTTACCATGCTGTCTGACTGAACTTATCTAAGCTACAAATTAACAAACACTATGACACTATAATTATAATATAAAGACAGACGAATTAATTGTTATGGGCGGACCTTTCTCGTCTTGAATTATTATAGATTACTTAAACTTTTGAATGGAAAACTTTACATTGAATTTGTTTAAAGTTACAATTTCATATTTTCTAAGAAAGTCAAAACATAATTATTTCTATGTCTTTTGCTCAATAGGTTGTCAACTCACTATTATACGATCATAGGTGTCATTCTCACACTTAAAACTCATTTACACCGGAAATAATAACACAATTACCTCCCTTGTTTTATATTCTCCACCATGGAGTACTTATCTTCAAACATTGGAATTTGAAGATGAAAATGATATTATTGCCAATTTCTCAACTGGCAATAGTGAATTATAGGTAGGGTTACCAGATTAATCATTGAAGAAACCGAGACATTTATTATTCTGAGCAGACTAAAGCTAAATTCGGCACCGAGCGCCCACAGGGCGCAACAAAATGAGCGCCTGCCGGGCACGATACATTGAGCGCCGGAGGTGCGAACTTACTAGGAGGGTTTGGGGCATGCCCCCCCACAAATTTGACAATCGTACAATTTGAAATAATAAAATTTGGTAAATAAATACGATTTTAATCGCTAAGTAATAAGAGGAATTATAGATGAAATACAATAAAAATCATATTATTGTCTACAAGATAACAATTGGTTATTAAAAGGGCTCCTTTTTTAGTCATACGTTTTCGTTTTGTATGGCGCGCGCATTTCACATAAATTTATTTTTTGTGAACTGTTATATTTTGCAAAATTATACCCAAGATCATACGTCAATTTCTATAAAGCCAATTGCATTGTAATTCCAGTTTTAGGCCTGTATTATGCACATTCGGCACACCTCGGTTATTCCTACGAAACCCGAGGAATGCCGAATGTATTGTGCACTGAACTATATTTAGATCAGAAGTGGTGTGCTGTCGTGCTGAAGTAAGAGTGCTTGTAGCAAACGCTGTTTTTATACATTATAATCACTAGTTTATATGTTATTATTTTCAATTGGAAAACACCTGATTTGAAAACCGGGACATTTAGGCATGTGAGAAGCTTTGGGACGGGACCACAAAAAGGACCCCAAAAACCGGGATTGTCCCGGTAAAACCGGGACGTATGGTAACCCTAATTATAGGATTAATAGGATTATTCTTTAACAAGGTAGGACTGTTTATAGATGCCATCTATTTTAAGGCTTTATTTTAATAAATTTTAAAGGAGCTAAATCGCTAACATTTGGGACCTAGAAATTGACAAGAGTGGGTTGCAACGCATATAATACTGTAATATGAATGTATATAAACTGATTTACATTCAATGGTTTCCGTTTTTACTCCAATTTCAAATCAGTTATCTTCGGCGAAATAAGCCAGCAGTCTCAAGCGAGTGCAAATTTCTATAAATTTTAAAGGAGCTAAATCGCTAACATTTGGGACCTAGAAATTGACAAGAGTGGGTTGCAACGCATATAATACTGTAATATGAATGTATATAAACTGATTTACATTCAATGGTTTCCGTTTTTACTCCAATTTCAAATCAGTTATCTTCGGCGAAATAAGCCAGCAGTCTCAAGCGAGTGCAAATTTCTAGCGTCTGGTTATTCCAGTCTACATACGCCGTTTGATTTGGTGCAATGTGTCTAGCCTCGTTCCTTGAGTCTCTTGATACAACTGGGGCTGAAGCGCATTATGGTACATGATTCGTGTACCAATGGTAAAATGTTTATTTTGTCTTAAATATTGGATATCAAAAGCCCATCTTTTTCTGGTAAGATCACAACATGAATGTTGATCTAATTTGACAAATAAATCGTGTTTTCAATGTTGAAGATTTGGGATGATATTGAGTTAGAGACTTAGCTACTTTAAAAATATAACTTAAAATAGGCTCTTTTTCAGTATCGCACCTCTACCAGTTCCCATCATATTTAATGTGATTCAATTCAATTCAAGGCTATTTATTTATCACAATTCCGAAGAACAGACAATCAAATTGTTGTGGCCTTACAGTATACATATCTTCAACTTGAAAACATGACCGTTCTGTGTTACCAATCGTCTTTAAATAATAGAGTAGTAGTAATTTCCTGGACCTACCTTGTAATTGTATGTCTTGTGAATAGCATTACCGTACCTTTGTGACAGGAAGGATTTACCCCTGTGACTGTGTCTTCGCTCTTGGGCACTTGAGCATGTCAGAAATTATTGTTTACAACAAAACATACCTACTTCCTTCCGCCCGTGTGAGATCATTCACTGAGTCTGAGATGGTCCCTGATCTACTAGTATAAGTTCATGAAAACTATTTAGTTAGGCCTATAATTATGAAGTACAAATAACCAATAATAATATTAAAAGGAGTCTTTGTGATGTGTTCGATAGGCATATGATGCCTTCGAAAAGTGGACCAGTGTCGTATCTAATCTATGTCGCTAAAGTAGGCCTACTGTGAACACACATCCATCGCCGAGTAGCCTATTAATTATGGAAAGATAACGTTGCCAATATTATTTCAATGTTCACGGTGCAAATTATATGTCAGTAGTTCAAACTACCGGTACGTATTTTAGTTTTATAATTTGCAATTTCCATTGCTCCACAATACCAGTGTCACAAGCAAAGGGGGGTTGGATCATGGCTGAATGTTTAGAATGTGCGCGCTTTATCATAAATTATAAGCCTGTCATTGACTCATCATTGAGTCAACTGGCGTGGTTTCGAATCCCCGGTTGTACGTGACAAGGAGTAGGGTCGCCAGTCCAACCTCGTGGGTTTTCTCCGGGTCCTCCGGTTTCCTCCCACTGCTAAAGACCCCCTACGCGCAAGCGAATTATGTTAGTCCCGAAATGACCTAGTTTGTGTCGAGTGGACGTTAAACCCCATTTCTCTCTCTCACCAGTGTCACAATACAGAATAGGCCTACACTTTTCAATAATTCAATAATACTAAATACAGTAATAGTATAGCCTCGATATAAAATAATATAACAGACAAATGCATAATTTTTATTAATAATAGAACTTAGTATATTAGAATACCTTATATCTACAAGAAAGCTCATTTGCATGCGGAAAAAAGTCTGAACGACAACAGAAATTAATAATTTACGAGATCGATCTACAAGGTATATAAGGTCAGTAGAAGGGGGCAGTAGTCATATTTACAGACCTTCAGAAAATGATCAATGAAACGAAATGGGTTTAACGTCCTACTGTTCTGCTCCAACTGGGATAATAAAAACGGGCATATTCCATGTAGTGTGCTATGAGTATGAGTGGAAATTTGCCCGAACTATGGCACTATCTACAGTAGTCATGTATCAAATTCCAACTGCCAAGGGATATTTTTATGTGCAGGCTAATGAGTGGAAATTTGCTCGAACTATGGCACTATTACAGTAGCCTACTTTTGTATCGAATTTCAACTGCCAAGGAATCTTTTTATGTGGAGGCTAATGTGTACAGTGGACACATTTTATGTGCAGGCTAATGAGTGGAAATTTGCCCGAACTACGTCACTATCTATAGTAGCCTACTCTTGTATCAAATTCCAACTGCCAAGGAATCTGTTTATGTGGAGGCTAATGTGTACAGTGGACACATTTTGTCCCATCCGATTGATTACACAGCTAGTTGACCTTGTCAGGCCCTCCGTCCTGCATCACTGACAAGGGGAAAGAAAAATGATCAAGGTTGGGTGGTATGAAACTCTATTAAATGACGGGGGTGAGGGGCTATTTAAGGTAAACATACATGTACCTGTCTTAATGCAATTCTAGATATGTTACGTGTCACTATAAAACACGTTCATTTCCATTTTCAAATATTTAAATAATTTTCTGGCACATTTATATTAACATACTTTGAAAAAATGAAATGAAATTAAATGATGTTTAAAGGAGCTAAGTCGCTAATATTTGGGACCTAGAAATTGATACAAATGCATAACGCATATAATAATGTAAAATGAATGTATAAAAACTGATTTACATTAAATCATTTGTTTTTACTGTAATTTCTAATCAGTTAAGTTCGGCGAAATACTCCAGAAATCTCAATCGAATGGCTATTTCCAGAGTCTGGTTATACCAGTCTACACCGATATTATTTTAATTGTATATGCTCTCCAGATAAGAATATAGCGTCACCGTTTGACATGACTTATGGAATATGTCTAGCCTCGTTCTTCAAACCCCTTGTTACAAATGACGCTGAAACGAAATATGGTACACGATTCGTGTACCAAAGGTAAAAAGTTTATTTTGTCTTAAATATTGGATATCAGAAGCCCACCTTTTTCCGGTAAGATCACAACATCAATGTTTATTTAAATAGACAAATAATTTGTGTCTTCAATGTCGAAGAATTTGGATGATATTGAGTTAAAGACTTAGCTACTTTAACGTCCTACTGTTCTGCTCCAACCGGGATAATAAAGACGACATACACCATAGTGTGCTATGAGGGAAATTTTGCCTGGGTAATGGCACTATGGCCTACTCTTATATCGAATTTCAACTGCCAAGGGATCTTATAAGTGCACGTCAATGTATACACGGTACCTTGGTTTTTCGTCACTATTGAACGACTAGACAGCTGTCCTTGTCAGGCCCTCTTTCCTGCACCACTGACAAGGTGAAACCACGTTGGAAAAATTGAAATGTGGACGTATATTGCCGTCTGTCTGTCACACTTTTTGGGACACATTAACTCTCCTAATTGATCTAGAATGTTCAAACTTGGTGTAGGTGTTTATTAGGCCGATGTCTTAATGGAGTTCAAAGATGAGTATTTTCTGCTTAGGGTAAGCTGAGATAAGCAATTTGATTTGTTGATGCTTTGGGACACAATAACTTAAGTTCTGATTAAGTGAGAGTGATCAAACTTGGTGTATAGTTTCATTACATCAATATATGAAAGCCTATGCATTCAAAAGAACCTATGGGAATCGGGAAAAAACAAACCGTTATATTTAGGGGATTGTATTAGCCCTCTTTCATGCTTCTGAAACGATTATCCTGTGTAGGGTTATTGTTTCAGATGAGTAGCCTATATGGAACTTAAAATCCCACCACTAACACATGGTTCAATTTTATTTCTATAATTCGCTTGCGCGTAGGGGTCTTTAGCAGTGGGAGGAAACCGGACAACTTGGAGAAAACCCGCGAGGTTGGACGGGCTACCCTTCTCCTTCTCACATAGAACTGGGGATTTGAAACCACCCCAGTTGCCTCAATGACAGACCTTATGATACAGCACGCACATGCTAACCATTCGGCCATCCAACTCCCTGAAAAAATAGCTATCAGAGACTGGAAAAGAGTCAAGAGATTCAAACTTTGTTGATGTGATTTTGAGATACACAAACTTGAAGAAGTATACTTAAAAGATTAACTATTTGCCATACATATCACCGTAACCAATCTGATAACTCTGTTATCCTTTCGCCTCTAAACGAATATTTACCAGAAAATGTTAATTCAAAGCCTCTTGGTGAATTCTTGACCAAAAAATCAACAAAAATGGGCATGCAAAAGGGGAGAAAAGAGATAGAAAGAGAATTGCTATAGATATGTGAAACTTAATGGTGGTCTGCCCCCAGCAAGCATTGCTCAGAGTTATTTCCCTTTATGCACTGAAACTAAAACTCTGTGTAACCATGGTTAGGGCTAAAAGGAAAGGCCCACTGCATATTTCGTCTTAGATCATGAGGTGTAAATAGGGCTTGGGTTGGGATAAGAATTAGACTAGGACTAACCCTAGGGCTAACATGGGCCTTTCCGTTTCTCTTTTACTGTGTATTTACTGCTGTATTTAATTTTATATTATGTATAATATAATTTATTACCATGGCAAAATAAACACATTAAGTCATAAACATGATTATTCATTATAATCATTACCACGCACATTCATTATTAGTATTATTATATTAGTGAGACAGTTTAATCAATAAATACACAGTATACAGATTGAGTTATATGAACTGGAAATAGACACAACACACACACACATGCTATTTAATAGAAAATTTTTGATAAGAGGGACACCTGTATTAACGGTAAAGTCTTTTATGTCCAACCGAAGCATATTCTATGTAACAATAACAAATACTTGTATATGTCCACCACCAGCATTTGAAAAGGTGGTGTTCATGTTTTGGGGGTCGGGGGCAATAACTAAGCACAGAATTGATCAGCAACCAGTGGTGGGCAGAATGTGAGTCACCCAGGGCGGTCCTGGAGTTTATTTACCAGCAAACATAAAAAGAAATACTCAATACACAATTACATAGTGACTTTTGAGCATTTGTCAATGATATAAAATGAAATACCGAAATTGTTGGGAAAGATTTTCAGCTGTAAGTTGCTCGACAAAAAAACTTTCCTCAATTAAGATTTTGCTGCTTGACGATGTTCGATTTGACACATCAAAGATAGGTATAATGTATCCTTCTACTGTCCCAATAGAAATACAACTTTTGTTTCATACAACAATTCCAGTCATATAAAAAAAAATCATGAAAATTCAGACCTGTAGAACATTTCCATGGTTTTAATGACAGGGGCAGTGAAGTAACTCAGAAAAAATGAGTTGCACATCTCTTAATTTCTATAATCATCCTTCCTAGGACAAGAATTATGGACTGAACAACAGACAGGTAAGAACGACAGATAGATAAGTACAACAACAATATAGGTACATGTACATGTAAGTGCATAAAATTGAATTACATGTTATTTACATATAATCACTCTTTTCATTATCTTTATTGCTTTAAGCTTATAATATGGCAGTGGGAATTTGATATTAATAATGACAAACAATATCACACAAAGTCAAAAACAAATCAACGTATAATGCATAAAAAAATGAAAAATTAATTGATGAATACTGACAGCAATTATATGGGAATTCACTCTTTAATCACAATAATATTACTCTTACAACTTGCTATTAGACACATAGTGTATTTAATTTGAAATAATTCTATTGGTAAGCCATGTTTGTAGTTTTTCTATTTGTATTAAAACACTTTGTTTAGCAGTTCCACCAGTAGCAGTATACTGATCAACAGAATTCTGATAATTCCACACTAAATTGACATCTGCATCAAACAATGGATGGATTGTTTTAAAATCTTCCACTGTTAGTTTCGGCATGGGACATTCCTTCTTTTCAGCTAGTGCCACACAACCACCTGCTAGACCATGAGCCTCTCTAAAAGGAACACCCTTTCTTACTAGATAGTATGCCAAGTCTGTGGCCAGCATATCAGGACTCAATGCAGCAGTCATGGCATCTGGGTGTATAGTCAGGGTTGACAAGGCACCTGTGGCTACTTGAATAATGCCTGAAAAATATGTATGGAATATTCAGTGTTGTTAGATTTGAACTGTCCCAAATTTTAATAATGATATTAACGAACTGTCTTCATGTTCAATTATTTTCTTTACAAACCAAAAATAACTTCTGGTCTTTTACTAATTTCAATGCACACGTTTTTCTGCAGTGCCACTCTTGTCTCATTCAAAATCAACAGATACTAGGTCAATACACATAGGTTCAACTCTCCTGTCTTTGGTGGGTGATCAACAGATACCAGATCAATAGACATAGGTTCAACTCTCTTGTATGTGGGGAGGGGTGCTGACCAACAGTCACCAGATCAACAGACATAGGTTCAACTCTCCTGTATGTGGGGGGGGGGGGGGCTGACCAAAAGATTCTAGGCCAATGCAAACAGGTACAACTTTCCTGTATGTTGGAGTGGGTGGGCTAACCAACAGATACCAGGCCAATACAAACAGGTCCAACTCTCCTGTATGTGGGGGAAGGGGGGGGGGGGGCAGAACAACACATATCAGGTCAATACACACAGGTTCAACTTTCCTGTACAGTATTAGCAAAATCCCACCTTTCAAACACCCACCATTATCATTTAAGTGAATAGTTTTTATCTTATACCTGCCAATCATCATTTGCATTTTTTATTATGGCTTAATCCAACCTAATCTGTACTCAAACTGATATATTAACATTTAAATCTAATTAAGAAAAATCAAATTATAGACAATACTGGTAGATAATCTCTTGACATTGATTAAAAGGCCTATCAAAAGGTGGAGCAGGATTTTGAATGTTGTGAAATTTTAAATCTATCATATTTTTGAAAATACTGATCAGTCTAAATTGAGCCATTTTTAGATTGACATCATGTTTTTACAATGAACTGTACAATAATTACCTGTAAGTGTATCATATGTATCAAACATGGCTGTTTTATCTTCCTGCAAATCTTTGTTGTAGGTACTAGGTACACCTTTCAATGTCATCATAAAACCGGCACAGTTACCAAATAATCGACCAGATTTTCCTCGGATCAGCTCCAAACTATCAGCATTCTTTTTCTGTGGCATCAAACTGCTGCCCGTGCTATAAGCATCTGATAATGTGACGAAACTAAACTCTTTTGTACAATAGAGAATCAGATCTTCAGCCCACCGACTTAGATGAGTACTCAACAACGATGAAACAAAGAGAAATTCAACAATAAAGTCCCGATCACTAACAGCGTCTAGACTGTTGCCAGTAACATCAAGCAGATTCAATTCCCTGGCCAAGAATTCACGATCAACTCCAAATGGGTTTCCTGCTAGCGCTCCACTACCAAGTGGTAAAATGGCTGTTCGTTTACTCAATTCATCATACCTCTGCAAATCTCTCTGCAGCATCCATGCATAACTAAGCAACCAGTGACTCCATCTAATAGGCTGAGCTCTTTGTAGATGTGTATATCCAGGCATTAATACTTCTATCTCAACGGAAGCTCTTTTGATAAAGACTGATATAAACTGACTTATTAAATCTGTTAAAGTTTCCAGGGAATCTTTTAACCAGAGCCTCATATCTGTGGCGACCTGATCATTACGGCTACGACCTGTATGTAGTTTACCAGCAGCTGTACCAATCAACTCTTTTAAACGTCTCTCATTGGCTGAAAAGAAACAGTAAATCCTAAATAAAATCAAAGTAGGAATATCTTCCAAAACAAAAATTTTATCTTAAAAATAGACCCTAAAGGTTACTTGCTTCCTGTTTTGAACACATACCACAATTTGTGACAGGTTCTTTTTATATAATTGACAGTTTGATAAGCCTCAAATGGCAGATCTCTTTGATGCTGTTCAAAACCATTATTGTTTATTTCACTGGATTTTATCTGTATTGAAATGTTGGCTGACAATCTGTAGAGATATGACTAGTATTGAAAATACTGGTAGCTAATTCTGTGTTTCATTGTTGATTCCTTTTCATAAAACTTTCGTCCCAAGCAAAAGTATATCTATAATCTAACCAATGTAGGCATAATGCACATGCGCCAAGGCAATGTGGGGAAAATAATCGTATTACTGGGCAACAGCCTTTAATTTGTATTGTTCTTCCACAAAGAAACATCTCATTCACAGACGAGTCTCATGAAAAGTGGAATCAGTGCCATAGCATAAAAACATAATTGAAATTATAAATGTGTTATCCAAGTTGTCAATTAGCTCTGGTGCCTACTTTCAGTTTTGATGTACCGTGTTCCTGCTTTGTCAATGAGATAATACGGAAATAAATAATCTTTTAAAATAACCAGAGTGAGATTAATTTATAACGAATATAATTACCTGTATGTATGTCTTCATCGCCTGCTTTTATAATAAAGTTTCCAGATTCCCATTCTTTCTTTATTGCACTCAATCCATCATAAATGGACTGTCTTTCTTCACTGGTTACTAGGCCCACCTTCTCTATAGCTTTAACATAGGCCTGACTTCCTTCAATATCAGCTTTCCACATACGTTTATCATAACTAATAGAAGCATTGAACTTTTCCATAATAGGATCAGTTCCTCCTGTAAACCTGCCTCCCCATAATTTATCCCCTTCCGGACAACTAGCCATCTCTCTAACCTGTTAAATAATAGAAAAAGTTTTAAAAAATAAGTAAAGTTCAAGTTGATGTTGCATCATCCAACCAAGCTAACTTATTCCGGTTGTTTAGACATGTACAAATTGAAACAACTTGGTTAGAAAATAGATATATGGTCTGATATCTAGTTTGTCAACAGAAGCAACACATGTGTTTGAGAGATCTGTAAAATAACCCATGTCACTTGCTGAGGACATGACATCATGCTGATGATGATATAGAGTCAATCGGACAAGTTTGAAGTTACTCATTAAAAGGGTCATTTTACTGTTGTGTCGGACATTTCAGTACGGTTACACAGTTCTATAAAAACTTACTATTCATAAAAACATGAAACCTGTATTTACAAATATGCGAATATCCAAATCAAAATAATAAGCAGTTAGATCTACTGTCTTGAGTCTTTTCAATAAGTGGCCTTCGTTGATTAATAATAGGCCTACTATTACCGATACAGTAAAATAATACTGATAGTGAAATTCAGTTGTTTCTATAACGTTTCTCAGTCACTGACATATTATCATATCTTCAAAAACATGCAAATAGAACCATCTGTTATAATACTCACGTACAAAAGAAACGAGATTGTCGTATTATCGATCTGAAGGTCGAATTCAATTAATTAGGCTGCCAGATCAGCATTTATTACTCCATGTGAGCGACCATCTTCCTTCCTTTCATGAGAAGGTGAAGGTCACTCCTTATTTAGCAGACGAAAAAAAATTGGCTAAAATTTTAAAACGGCTATTTACAACGAGTACGGCATTGCAAAGAATGAAAATAAAAATATTGTAATTTACAGTAGTTCAGCTCTGAACGTAGGTCTCATTCCGAGTGTAATGAGACCTACGTTCAGAGTAGTCCAGCTCTGAACGTAGGTCTCATTACACTCACCTCTTTCATTCTTTGAGACCTACGTTCAGAGCTGAACTAAATTTACAGCAGCCATCATATTCTTTAGATATACACCAGCGGCCGCCAGGCAGGATACGCCCACATTTTGCAAGAGATGGATAGAGAACAAGCTAAACAAAAAAAAGCGATTTTTCGTACAGTCAGGGGCCATAATTCAGGAAGTTACGGTCCGATATGTGCGAATATCGAAAGGAACAGAGATCTTTGGGTTATAAACTTACATGTCAAGTTTCATCAAAATCAGAAGAAAATTGTGACTTCTAGAGCGTCCACAACCTTGACATATCATATTTTTACGCTATTTGAGTACGAGGGGCGGCGATTTTGTCCGTCAGTTTTTGTCCTATTTTAACGAAATTCGAACACAACCATCCTTAGGGTGTAACGGTGATATATTCAAACGTTTCTTTAAATCGGATAAAAATTATGACCTCTATAGGGTCCACAAGCTGAAATCGCGATTTTTCGTACAATCAGGGGCCATAATTCAGGAAGTCATGGTCCGATATGTGTGAATATCGAAAGGAACCGAGATCTTTGGGTTATAAACTTACATTTCAAGTTTCATCAAAATCAGATGAAAATTGTGACCTCCAGATCGGGGTCCACAACCCTGATACTTGCGAACGAGGGGCGGCCATTTTATCCGTCAGTTTTTGTTCTATTTTTACGAAATTCGAACACAACCATCCTTAGGGTGTAACGGTGATATATTCAAACGTTTCTTTAAATCGGATAAAAATTGTGACCTCTATAGGGTCCACAAGCTTAAAAAAAACCCACGATTTTTCGTACAATCAGGGACCATAAGATAAACCTATATTTCAAGTTTCATTGAAATTGGATAAAAATTGTGACATGTAGACTGTTCACAAACAATTGTGGACGGACAGACGGACAGGGGCGACGACAATATACGTCCACATGAAAATGTGGGCGTATAAAAATAGTCCTCTAAGAGTGTAAATGGTGTGCTAAAGACACCATATCACAATATAATATTTGTCTTCGAAGAACGAAGCAAGGTGTAGCTTATACTTATATATATAGTCTATACGGTGTATTGACCCAAGTTACAGAAGTAGGCTACAATAATGATCTTTTAGAGGCATTTAGTAACTGGATAGAGCAATAAACTATAACACATACTTATGGAAGAACAATTACTGATTTATTTGGGCGAAAGTATGTGTTATAGTTTATTAGGCTACAATAGTCACGTATCTGAATTATATACAAATATATGCACACGGGTTTTTAATTTTTCCTAAGAAGTGCTCAATATAGCTCGACCTCTAAGCTTTTAAGTATGTCTCGAGCGTTCGAGTTGTTAAGTCGAGCGCTCAATTTAATTATCTGGAGCGCTAGACTTAATTATTAGGAGCGCTCCTAAATCAGTCACCGTATAAATGACTAATAAACTGGGTTCTTAATTTAACATTTTTCACTATTCACAGACGCCATCAAAAGAAAATACACTGCACATACCGTTCCTGTGTCCAATATAATGCATGTACTGAAAAAAATATACCAAACGGCAAATAAACGGCAAATGAATTCTCCTACATGCGCATCAAAATTATTATAAAAGCTAAATTAGAAAAAGCGACGCAGAGGGTGGTGTCGTGTTAAAAGGGTCGTCGTCGCTTTTGAAAAAAGCCACGCACAACGCGGGAAGTGGACAGAGGCGTAGCCGTGAAATATATATTGGGGGGGGGGGGGGTCCGCAACCCTAACCCCTAACCCATTTTTTAAAACCCCTAAAAAATATAAACAAACACCATGTGGCCATGCTGTCTACCAAGACACCGCGTGCAAAAGCATTATGGTTACGTTGCTTGCTGAGCGGGCGATAAATATTTGGTTTAGGCGGATGTTTTTGGGTACCTACATGCGATTCACTCTGATAAGTGGCAGAAAAAAATTAACAAAATATTACTGACAGGCTAACTAGACAAAATTTTATGGAACACAGGTACTTTTCACTTCACACATGTTTCCAGGATGATTATCTCTGTGTTTTATTTTAGCAGTATAAACCATATTGGGATATGTACAGGTTTTATACAGATAGAACTAATCCTAATAATTGTTGTAAATAAATAGGAGTTTGGGCCTACCCCCCATGTGTGACGCCCATGGAAGTGGATGAAATAGAACACCATATGTAAGTCTTACGTTTCTGGTCATCTGCAGTAGGCTAATAGAGTCTAACCCAATCTATATGTCAGAAGGTGCACGCTCTAGCTAATATAAGTGGGTGTAGCGTTTACTGACTCCTAAACTACTGCCATAGGTAACCTACATTGAACGCCTTAGCTCAACACTGCATTCTATGACATCACATCGGTGGAAGCGGACGTAAAATACAACTAACTAACAACACTGCATTCAATTTGGATCGCCTTCAATGAATTGTTGACAAGTCGGCTCTAAAAAAAAATGTTGGCCTAGGTGTCTTCTGTCACCGCAGATCTATTTCATTATTTCATTAGTACTATTCCTGTATTTATTTACCCAATTTACGTTTTATTACAGATGATCCGGTTTTTGATAATATCATTATTTAATTTTAGAGCCATAAAAATCAGTGTATGAAATTATCTCTGGCTAAAATAAAGCGATATGTATAGTTGTCTCCCTTTAATTGTCAAACCTGAATTGAATAGTTTTGAATTTCAGACGTTTATTTAACATCGTTTTAAAGATAAAACGTCACTACAAAATACAAATTGATGTCGCAGTTATAAATATAGAAACGTAGGCCTATACTTCCAACTTCTCAACACAATATTTTTTAGTCACAGGAAAGAAATATGGGCTGACTGATGTCATGTTGTTTGCTCTATGCCATTGATCAAGGTTTCTCTTTTCAATTTAGCTTGCCGTATCAGATATTTTATATTACAGAACTTTTATTTACTATCGCACTAAAGACACACTGTGGTCTTCACAAGTGACCATTTATCTGTAAAAGTAAGACTTTCCCTTCATGAATTTTGCTCAGCATTACCCCCACAAATGTTCATTTATTAAATAGCTGGAATACAGATTGGTTCGGTATCTTGTGCATCGGACTCAAGCAATTATTTAGATTACCGTTTTCATACGGCACCTATTTTACAGCAGTCGAGACCCCCCCCCCCCCCACACACACACACACACACACCACTCCCCGTTAATTCGTTTTTGCCCCATTGTCTTTATGTAATAATTTCCTGCAAACCGAAATTATTTATAAACACGAATTAGAGCGAGTAGTGAGCATGTTGCAGATCTATATTAGCTGTGTCTCTTTCCTGTGATAAATTATTATCAGATAAAGTTTTCATTATGTTTTACTGGAAATAAAAACACCTATGGGGATTTACTGGATGACGACTAATTATATAAGATTAGTTGAAGCTTACGGAATGCAGGGAATGATTTGTCACTGAGATGATCAGCTTGTTCCTGTCTAATCTGATCAATATTCTAGTCTTTGTCATCATTCAGATGAATCATATACCATAACAAACCTGTCATCCAATCTTACACGTAGACGTAACGCAGTGAGATGACAAGGTTGCTTTCAGTGGGTTAAATGGAGACGAGTTACACATAGTTCTACCCGCTTATCTCAAGTTTAGTATAGCCATCGTTCTCTTCAATACTATACTAAAATGTAAAAACCTATATTCATTTCGAGAATAGAAATATTTATTATGTTCATAAAGTTGCGTGTCTGTAATACAATTTGGGGTTATTTACAAACTTGGATTTTGACCCCGTCCTACTGTAGGACGGCAACCGTATTTTGTATGTCACTTTTGTATCTTAGCTTAATATTTTGCAAACCCTATGGCACCTAGTTTGTTTTATGATATTCGAAATTTACCCCTTTGTCGAATTAATATCCATTGCAACCCTTCATAGTTACGCAAGTTTTCCAAACTATTGTATCAGCACGTGGAGAGGTCTAAACTTGTTGGAAGACATATTGGGATGCAAATCACCGTATATAGTTAGTTATGTGCAATCTTTATCATGATTCATGTACCATTTGGTATGAAGATTATTAAAGTATATTTACATGTTGGCTATTTTTGACATCGTTTTAATAACTTGCGGTATTTCAAGTTATTAGTGTCAAAACTGAACTTAACGAATAACGTTACACCATAATTTATATTACAGATTTAAAGTGGCTTTTAGATCGTCAATGTTTAACTATCTTTCTTGTTTACTGGCTAAACATCGTCTTTCGTTATTTCCCAAAACATGATAAATTTGACACGATTAACAGGAAGTATATAATAATAATAAAACACAAAGCATTTTATTTTTTCAAGAAAGGACTCGGAAGCATTCGCTGACCTATCGGTGTATTAAGTTATATATTAGCGGAGATCTACAGCGGCTTAGTGAGTAAGACGTTGGCTGGCTAACCTGGAGGTCCCATGTTCGATCCCGGTGTGGTTCCCACTTGTCAGTGGTGCAGGACGGAGGACCTAACAAGGGACAACGTGTAGTCGTTCGGGTGGGACGAAAAACCGAGGTCCCATGTACACACTGGCGTACATGTAAAAGAACAGACTTTGATAGTTGGAATTCGAAATAAGGGTAGACCGTAGTGCCGCTGTCTAGGCACAATTTCACTCATAGCACACTGTGTGGCGTGTGTCTGTCTTTATTAGCCCAGTCTGAGCAGAACAGTAGGGCGTTGAACCATATTTCAATATATATTATGGGAGACAAATGTTATGTGAGATTTTTTGACTGGGTGTTAGATGTGAGTTTAAAGGTGTGTGCATGAGGTATGAAAG